AAGGAGACAGCATATTACTGCGAAACGTTGGAAAAAAAAATCTCTTAGACTACACGGCGTTACATCTCACAATAGATAGATTTTTATTATACTTCGGATTTTGCAAGCAAAGCGAAGATAGCACACAGGCCTAAATATATGATTCTTCTGTCTTTAAAATGTCAAGCAATACTCTGGGAGGGGCAAAAAAATTATTTTCACACGGTAAAAATATTTAGTTCATTCCTCAACATTATGCTGCGAAACCAGGCAAGAGGAGAACAAATGAACTTACACAGATTCACTCACGAACACAGGAAATACTTCACATGTATCCAATTTGGACTGTTTTGCCTTCCCGTCCCGTCTCCTGTCTAAAACATAAAACAGGGAGCCTAGTAAAAAATCCCGATTCTGTTCGATATTCTGTATCGATACGAAACTTCATCTGCCACATTAAAGGAAGGACACAGGTCGAGAATATTTGAAAACATGGTATTGAGGAGAATATGGAGACACAGAAGAGAAAACTAATAAAAGTGGAGAATATTTCATAATAAGGAGCTTCACGATTTGTAGCCTTCACCAAACAGTGACCTACTAGGGGGATCAGACCACGGAGAATGAAATGGGCGGGAAATGTAGCATGCCCGAGAGATAAGAGAAGTGCAAACTCTGAAGGAGAGATATCATTTCACAAATTCTGGCGTAACTTGAAGAATAAAGTTACAATACATACGTGCTAAAGAAACAGACTCTAAGCGTGTGGACAGGATTTATCTAGTTCAGGAGTTGAAACAATGGCGGGCGTCAAGAATCGCGGTATCCTAATGAACAATCGGGCTCCATAAAACGAGGAATATCTTGACCAGCCGAGCGAATATTAGGACGAAGGACACTGCTCCTTGAAGCATAAGAACTGGATTGAGAAGGCAAGGCGTAAGTTGTCAGCCTGCAAGCTTATAATTTGGTTTAAGATATCTTATCATAAAATAAGAAGCGTTTGCCTCTGGGCGTAATAAAGTACCACACCCTTAAGATGTATGGTAGGATGGAGGTATAGCTCCACACACTCATAACCAAGACGTTAGATGGAGGTGAGTGGCCAGCTTCAAAGCCTTACCGACTGACCCCGAGGAAAACTGTGACGGTGAGGACAGAACAGGAGGCTTGGTGATCCAAGTACTTACTGAAAGGAAGTGACGTAGGTGATATTAGTAAATGTGTTGTCGCTTCGGTTCCTAAGCCGATGCTGGTAGCCTGAAGGACTCATTCAGCATTGATAAAGAAGCCAAATTTCATAACCGTAAACACAAAACCCGAAAAATGGACCATATCCTGCACCAAGTCAAATGACCTTCTGGGTACGTAACTCTATGCAGTAGAATCATTTCGATAAACTAACAGTCGCTTAACTAACCAACAAATTCTCTTAATACTGTATTGTAGTATCCTGTTGTATTCTTTTATTTTTATTATAAAGCTTATTTTGCAGTCTTATGTGCAACTATTTATTAACTTGAAAGTTTAAGTTTTAAATTTAAAATTTAAAGGTAACAACATATTTCGGCTAATATGGGCATCAGCAGGTGTTAGCATAGAACTGCCTCTCTCTGTTGTTGCTGCTATTACATGTGTAGGTCCCTCGGATACGCATGCGTGTTGTAGTCAGGGAGTCGTGCTTCTTCCTGAAGAGTTTTCTTCTAGGTTAAATAGTTGCACATAGGGCTGTGAAATGAGATAAAAAATCTCTGCCTTTTATAGAAACAAAAATTGCTTAAATGTGTTAACTCGAGCAGTTTCGCATCCCAATACAAATACATGAATTCAGTCCACTTCTTCACACCCCATTACTTTAAGATCTGTTTTAATATTATCCTCCCATCTATGCCAAGATCCCTCAAGTGGTCATTTCCATGGAGAATTTTCGAATTGTTTACGTATGCGTTTATAACATCTCCTCCGGTCCCTACACCATAATATAATCTCGAATTAGGCCTATTTAGTACTGGAACGTATCGCCAACTTCTATGTAATTTGCTCTAATCTCGTGTTACAGCTTGCTCCTAGCTCCAGTCTACTATCCTCATGACTCTCTTCTTAAACGTCCTACCTCAATCTAGGATATGAGTTCAATTATCCTCCCAACACATTACTCCGTATCCGTTGTTTTAATAATCTCCTTCCAACTAATCCCGGATCTTCCAGATGGTGTCTTCTCATGATATTCTGTCTATCTATCTGTCTATCTGCTTCTGTTACTCCCACTTGGAGCATAGGAGATCCCTGAAAAGCTTCGTCTCGCTTCAGTTTCTAAATATTAGACAGTTTGTAGGACTCCTTGGACGGGGATCAGCCCGACGCAAGGCGGCTACCTACACACAGGATAACACAAATACAGAGTGAAGGCAAACAAATATCCATGCCTTGAGTGGGATTCGAATCCAAGATCCCAGCATTCTAGCGAGCGAAGGCAGTTCATGCCTTAGCGCGCGGCCACTGTGACCGGCTCCCATGACATTAAGGAGACGAAAACTTAAACACGTTCTATGTTTGCATTCTTCCCATTCTACTGACAAACCAGGAAGCTCCTCTTTATGTAATATTCTCCATTCCTATGCTACTTCATATCCAGCTCGATCAAATATATCCATAAAATCTAAACGTCTGTGACGGTACGTACATTGGTACAAATATTATATTTTTGGATATTATCCATCGTCTTGTGTTTATCTAAAAATCGTTGTTTATTTTTCAAAACACAACGTTTCGGAGATAAGGACTAACTTTATCGATTGGTCCCAACTGAATAGGTTTTACCTGAAGACGGAGATAGAATCCAGTCTCCGAAACGTTGTGTTTTGAGAAAAAAGGACGGCTTTTAGACAAAGACAAGATGATGGATAATGCCCCAAAAATATAATATTTGTTCAAATATATCCAGATACAGGCCTTGATATAAGAGAGAGATTTTGTGACTTGCAACGGTGCAGTGCGTCCAGGTCTAATGATATTTCTTCCAAACACAAGTCATTTGTGGAAAACATGTAATACTGTATTATGATGCACAGTCAGAATTACGCTGCGTGGCAGTTACAGATTTATCTATAGGAATCTTCTGGTTCCGCCCCCTCCTCGGAACACTAGACCTGCTATGAGGGAACTGTTTCTATCAAATTCGAACAGAACGAAGCCAACTTCGGTGAATATATGGGGGGAAAATGTTAATTAATATCAAGGCAAATTAAGAGTTCCCGACCGCGAAATTGTGTACATTCACTCTACAGATATCAATTTACCCTAATCATGAAACTTCGTCCCTGTAGCTAAGAAAATCTGGAAACTTTTTAATTTCGCATCGTGAACAAAACCAACATGGCGGCCGTGTTGACAACAAGAAATACTGAGGTGTGATGGTAATTCTGATTTCTATGAAATGTGTACTATACTGTGACGTTATAAAGTCGCCTATTAACAGGCCAATATGGGAAGTATTGGAACCTACAGGTCCTTCGGAACAATCAAGTGTACAAGTCAGCTGTATGCTATTTAACGATCTAATTGTTTAATAAAATTAGGAAATACTTTAAACCAATGATGCAAACATTGCAAAAGCCAATCAAAAAAATATTTAACTTTCTACGTCTTGAAGAATGCCATCTTCAGGGCAGTCTGCAGCCACCTGCTCACGCTGGTTCCTAGCTTGCGGATTTTTCTACCGTGAAGATGGAGGCGATACGTTCTTCCGAAACGTCGGTTCACACAAGATCTACACGGTGCCACATACCAGAAGGCGACATTCTTCATAGTCACCGCCGTGGAAACCTAAAATCTTTCTACGGCTTGTCTAACTTCTTTCGTCTGACAGAAGAAACCACTGTTTTAATTGTTCTAACAGTCATGTGAGGTGTAGGTGAGCCTACGCATTTGAGATACGGAGTTGAGCGTTGTCTGCTGAATCCTGTAATTACGCATTGGCTGAAGGACATTTACTGTAAGACGTAGGCTAAGTCAGAGACGGATATGATACAAAACCAGCTCGGATATGAGTAACATCTCCTTAATATAATACACTTCCTATATTTCGTGTTTCTGAACACTTCCGGGTTTGTTAACAGTGTTAGCAAGCTTGTTGACGGAAACCAATAATTTGCTTTCTGAATAAGACACAGACAAAAGTGAGCACGACAAAAGGTTTCGGAGTGTAAGTTTAATGAGACCAGTTCACTAGCTCACAGACACTTACAGAGAATAACGATTTTATTACGACATAATAAATCACTGACGCATTAAGATAATAAGTAAAATCTTCAACCGAAATATTCAAATTAAGCTTATCTGTAGAAACAAAATTACATTCTAATTCTATAACGTCAGTGCTTGTTCTCGAAAACTTCTATCACATGAAAGAGATATGCTTTCGTTTCTACCACGATTTATCTTACATTTTCGTGTCGAACAAACGTCAATGTATTTCCATGATTTATTGAACTCGATTTAGTGACACCAGCACATAACACTGCCTCGTCCGACTCCAGAAGTCAACAAGATGGTAAAGCACATTAAGAGAGAAATGAATGTACGCCGTATTCCAGGTTTGGTGCATCGTTCGTTTAATTACCAACCTTATTAAATGGGACATTATCGTTTGGGGGCGGTCTCGCTGGGTGGAGAGATGTGTGTGGCGGACGGTCAGGAAACTCCATTTCAAATGTGACAGAGCGGGGAGGAAACGGAACGCACGCAGCATCCCAGAGCCTGTGCTGGAGCCAACATGTGTGGAGATGAATCCTGTTCCCCTTAAGCGACTGTGATACACGCCTAAGTCTCCATATCTCCGCCCAAATCTCCGCCCCTCCGCTAACTGTTCGCGCTCCGCGACTAGACCTTCCTCTCAATCCGCCCCTTCATTCTCTCGCCACGGATGTTTGGAGGGCAGCTTTGGATTTCTTTCTTTTTAATTTTTATCTGAGGAAAAGAATGTGGAGAACATGGTATGGTTAAGTTTTCTCAGTTCTCAGTTTACAGCGCTGTGGTGAAGGAATCTGTTGCAGCTTGGAGCGTGGACAGTGAACTGAACTGCGAGTACTAGCACAGCTACAGTCTTATCACTGTGTGTGTTTGTATATGCGCGCGTGAGATGAACGTACTGGCTGCAACGTATCGAATGTGTATATACACATCGGCCTCGAGTGTTTGTAGTAAACTGTGGGGACTATAAGCTAACTTCAGACGCAAGGAAGTCGGCTTGTTTGGACAAGGCTTAACCACCAACAAGAAGAAGGGACTGGAAGCTACAACGTAAATGTTTATCGAGTCTGTGGCAACGTTTAGTTACTTGTGTGATACACAATATGATGAAGAGTGAGGAATCACTAGTTGAGTCTCAGTTGCACCATCAGCACCAGTCGGTGGTGCAGCAGACCATTAACATCCAGCAACACCTGCATCACCTGCACCTTCACCAACACCAACACAGTGTGATTCTCAGCAACAGTGCTGACCATGGGGGCTCTGTGCTGGGTCTGGACACTGCGACCAGCATGCCCCAGCAGCAGGATCAGGTGGCAGTGGCGGTGACGGTGGGGCCAGAGCAGGACAAGGCAAACGAGACCTCGTCTGTGCCGGCGGTCACCAAGAAGGGCAACCCCGGCGTGCGGCGGCAGGAGAAGCCACCCTACTCCTACATCGCACTCATTGTCATGGCCATCCAGAGCTCTCCAGCCAAGAGGCTCACCCTCAGCGAGATATATACCTTCTTGCAACAACGCTTTCCCTTCTTCCGAGGCTCCTACCAGGGCTGGAAGAACTCGGTCCGCCACAACCTCTCTCTCAATGAGTGCTTCATCAAGCTGCCGAAAGGACTTGGGCGTCCTGGGAAAGGACATTACTGGACCATTGATCCCGCCTCCGAATTTATGTTCGAGGAAGGTTCGTTCAGGAGAAGGCCACGAGGGTTTCGCCGCAAGTGCCAGGCGCTGAAGCCCCAGTACCACCCCCACCACCCTGCAGCCGCGTACTTCGGTAACCCCGGAGCAACCGGGTCCATGCTGGGTCCCGTGTCGTCGCAACCGGGCCACTACGATCCACTCCATCAGCAGGGACTAGGCGGTCCTCAGGCGCAGGAGTACCAGTCCACTTGTTCGTACAATGCGGCCCAACAGAGCATGGGACATCACTACGGGTACGACTACAGCACGGCACCGTCCCCCAGCATCTACCAACAATGCTCCTCTAGCAGGGAGAGCAGCGGCTGGGGCAGCCCGCATGTCACCTTTCCCACGGGAGACAACGCGTACATGAAACCGCCCCTGAGCCCGCTACCTGAGCAGCACGGCTCCATGACCCCGCCCAGTGGCCCGCAGACTGCAGCAGACTCGTACACGTATCAGTACAGCCTGCAGCCCAACCCGGAGCACGGTAAGCAAGACGCGGCGCGGCCCTGACCGCAATCTGTACTATTTGCCCGTCCCGGACGCACACTCACCACGGTAAGCAGTTCAGTGTCTGTCTCCATGTTTTTCGCAACTTCGGCGATTTCATCTCCAGTTTCTTGGGTTCGTTTCGTTACTGCTTTCATACTTTAGTCCAGCACAGCGCTGATCTCAGTGGCCGCGCGGTCTGAGGCATGACTGTCTTCACTCGCTCGAACACTGGGATTGTGGGTTCGAATCCCACAATAGGAATAGATGTATCTCTGCGTTTATTCTGTTTGTGTAAGTAGAGGCCTTGCGACGGGCTGATAACCCATCCAAGGAGTCCTACCGTCTGTCTTAGGATTAAGAAACTGAAGTGAAACAAAGCGTTTCACCGATGTCCTATGCTACAAAGTGGGATCAACAAGAAAGAGAGAGCGAGAGAGAGATAAAGCACAGCAATTACTGTATGTACCATTTGCTTTAAGACCAACAAACTCCGCATTTTGTCCACATATCATGTTCAGAGCAAACAGCGCTTATTTCCCTAATCAGAATAAACCAGTTCTTTATAACGGGGGCGCAACGAGTGCCCTGTGACGTGGGAACTGAAACACCCCCTTTTTTGAGTCACAGCCCTCAGAAGAGTTACCTTGAGTTAGACTATCCCGGTTTTCACGCATTTGGTGTTCGTACAATAATTTTTACAGAGCAAAGTTGTCTTCCATGCGTCCAACTCCCAACATGGAGGACCAGGTCTCTGTATTTATATCCTCCCGTGACAGAATGGCCTAGTTGTACCCCAGCTACCGGAGTCTCTCTTCATCAGCTTCAACTACTCACAGGGCGACGGTGAAGGTATTATAACCCGCCTCCAAACACGGAATATTAAATATTATTTAGAAGAAATTCGTGCTTCAAAGGGTTAACTGACATAATGTTCGAGTTGTCGGCTCTTTATTTATAAATACGATTATAAAATGGCCGAGCCATAGCTCAAGCGGTTGGTCGCTGGCTTTCCACCGCGGCGGCCCGGGTTCGATCCTGGGTCTGGTGAAGTGGGATTTGTGGTGGACAAAGTGGCGCTGGGGTAGGTTTTCTCCGAGTAGTTCGGTTTCCCCTGCCAATCTTCATTCAACCAACTGCTCCACAGTCACCCTCACCTATCATCTGGGGTTGGTACAGTAGGCCAGAAGTGGCCGCAGTGCAGGAGACTTAGTCCCACCCCACTAGCACTAGAAAAAAAGAAGAAAGATTATAAATTAGAGGTTCAGGTTCAGGTCTCGATCATTTTAATTCATGTTATTTACTTGTACCAGAGCACATTATTGTCAAATTCAATGTCTTTGGTTTTGAAAGAAAGTGAAAATTTCTAAATGTTAAGACAGTCGTAACTGGTATAGCCAAAGGAGAAAACAGACACAATGTCGACTGAACGAAGATAGAAGTATTTTGTTATTTTATAACTTTTCGCAATGTAGCACAGGACAGAATTCAGAGTTATTTTAATTAAAAACATTTCCATTCTTGCAATGCACCGACGGAAACAATTTTTTAGAACACTGGTCTGTATCTTACCATGTTTCATACAATTCAGTTCAACTGTGTCGTTTTGTTGCATATGGAATACAAAAAAAAAATTCTAGACTGTTTTCATAAAAACACAAAACCGTTCATAGCACTCCATGACAGTCAAATGAGAAACGAAATATAGATATATAATTTCTTCACTGCTATGTGATGCTAAAATCAGGCCTATTCGTAAAATCTACGGTTTGTAACATTAACATCATAGAATCACAAATGGCTTCTGTCACATTTGGTAGTTTAAGGAATAATTCAGAAATTAATAGCTACAGTAGACTATTAGGTTCAGTAATCAGCGAGTTTGCACAAGACATTATGCCACTTATTTTCATACCTAGCTCAGTTCCCGGTAAGCTGGCTGATTCATGTCAACTAATCTTACATGGTATGTACAAGTCACAGCAACTTTAGTTACAGGTCCTAATATTTATAAAATTCGATTCCAGACAAGGTCATTGAATTTCTCAGTTGACCTGTTCCTTCCAGCAGCATTATGGCCTTAAGGTCGACCCAGCCTCTAACAGAAATGAATACCAGGGACCTTCCTGGGGTGTAAAGGGTTGCCGGCGCATAAGTCCGACAACCTTACCGCCATCTGTGAGCGGATTGTCTAGAGAAAATGTGGGAGCCTTATGGGCCTTCACGGCCTGTTACAGGTTTAGCCTTACCTTATTTATTGTTTATAAGAAATACAGTAATTATTTGCCTGAACCGACCAAATGTTCACCGTATGAAGCGGTCTATTACAACGGCACGAAGGAAGTGCTAGAACTACAATGTGATTCTAAATTATTGTCGGGGGTTCCGTTTACAGGCCACGGAAAACCCGACAATAATGTAGAATAGCCCTGTATTTGTTATGCATGCCTAATTTTCGTTTATGTGAATTTATTATTCTGAGTTCCTCTAAGGATACTGCATTGACTCAGCCGGTTGTGTAGCATCAGTATTCGATGTTATTCATGTCGTACTTTATTGCTACTGGACAATTAAAAACATAAATATTCGAAGTGGAACGGACACGAATTTCATATTAGTCCTCAGAAGGGAGACACATTTGCAGTGAACTGAACATCGGTACTTTATGACGGGGGGACATAAAGCGCGTTGATCGATATAAACACAAAATTTCGGGTTGTATAATTTTGGGATCCGGCTGCTAACTTCGTGCGAGACCTCTATAGAATAATATAAACTGTCTTACAAAATGAATATTATAAAATATGAAGGGTACTTATTATATTGTAAATATTCCTCTATCACCCAAGCAATCATGCTGTGCATACACAATAAGACATGCTTAGGCCTAAGCATCATATTCGTACTGCCTCTGTGGTCTAGTGGTCAGAGTTCCCGGCTACAGATTCAGAGGTCCCGGGTTCGATTCCCGGCGCTACCAGATTTTCTAAAAAGTTTTGGGCATGGAACGGGGTCCACTCAGCCTCGTGAGGATAAGTGAGGAGCTTATCCGCTAAAGTGGGCACTAACTTCACCGATAAGCGGCGGTGGCTCGGTCGCGTGCGGACTAAAGCCACGGAGTTTGTTTAAGTCTTATATTCTTGAAAGTAAAAATATACAAAAGCATAACTTTGTCTGTAGTCTTTTAAGGACTTGAAAATGGTCTCTGAGATTAAAGGAGGAACGTAAACTGAGGAGTGCTTCATAACTTTCACTCTTCGCAAAATAAAATTGACATGGTCAAGTTAAGGACAATGAGATATGCAGAAATGTAGCACGCACGAGAGAGAGAGGAACATATACATATAAATCCAGAATGAGAGAGAACACTAGGAAGACCTAGACGTAATTAGGAGGATAACATTAAAGTTAATGTTAGAGAGAAACATGAAAATGTGGCACATTTCGGATATTTGGGAACAACGATAACAAATCAAAACCTGATTCAGGAGGAAATTAAGAGACGACTGAACTCGGGTAATGCTTGTTACATTTCAGTCCAGAACCTTTTTCTTCTCATCTGCTGTCCAAAAACATAAAAATCAGAATACGCAAAAGTATAACTTTGCCTGTGGTTTTGTATGAGTATGAAGCTTGACCTCTGACATAGGGAGGAACACAGACTGAGGATGTCGAGGAGAATATCTGGACCTAAGAGAGATGAAGTGACAGGAGGTTGGAGAAAACTGCACAGTGAGGAGCTTCATAACTTGTAATCTTCTCCAGGTATAATTAGAATGATCAAGTAAGGGAGGATGAGGTGGGCAGGGCATGTAGCACGAATGGGGAAAAAGAGGAATGCATATAGGATATTGGTGGGAAAACCAGAAGGAAAGAGACCACTGGTAAGACCAAAGCATAGGTGGGTCGGCAATATTAAAGTGGATCTTAGACATATAGGATGGGATGGTGTGGATTGGATTGGTCTGGCTTAGGATAGGGACCAGTGGAGGGTTCTTGTGACCATGGTAATGAACCTTCGTGTTCCATAAAATGTTCGGAAGTTCTTGAGTAGCTGAGCGACAGGTGGTTTCTGAAGGAGAACTCACCTACATGGAGTTCCTAAGGTTTCACATTTATTAGTTAAATATTGTTAATGAGACGTATAGTGGACTGATTTCTGAGAGCATCAATGCCTGTCTAATAACAGGCTTAGTCTTACGTAACATAGGCCAATATATATTTTAATTTTGGGATACGCGGTAACATACTTCTTTGAGGCATTACGCTACAAGCCGGAAGGTCGCGGGTTCCTTTGCCGATGAGGTTACTGATTTTTCAATTGATCTAATCCTTCCCTAGGATACACTCAGCCTATATCAGAAATGAGTACCAGGAATCTCCTTGGAGGTAAAGGTTGCCGGCGCGTAAGCCTGGCAACCTTACCTCCATCTTTGAGCCGATTGTCTAGAGAAAATGTGGGAGCCTCGACGGCTCACTAACCTGTCGGCCTCCACGGCCTGTTACAGGGAGAGGTTTACTTTTTTTATATATAAATATATTTGTTTTAATTTGTGGTGAGAGGGGTTTTCTTCAGTTTCAGTTCCATAAACCTTAAACTCCTTTTACGTTGGGCATGTTTTAAGAGATTTTACACATAGGCCTATTTTGGTTGTTCTAGACTCCTTAAATCAAGTGTCTATACTGATCAACTTACAATTTATCATTCTCTTCTAATCTTTACTTTATAATTCTTTCATCTCCTCCTCTTCCTCGTCCTCTTTCCAGTTTCACTGAGAGCAATCAACTCAATTCAAATACGCACCTTTAAACGAAAATAGGTTATAATCTCGCTTTCAGCATCCGATATTCAAAACATGGTTTCTGCAACAGTTTTGTTTTTGAACTAAAATTTATGCTATTTCTTTTCACCCCGTCATTTTCTGAAATACTATGCTGAAATATACGCATGCCACAATATTTCAAAAATAAAACAAAGGCGAAACACTTTATAGTCTT